AGATTTTATTTTTTATTTTTTCCCTTTTTCTCCCCAAAGCCCCCCGGTACATAGTTGTATATTCTTCGTTGTGGGTCCTTCTAGTTGTGGCATGTGGGACGCTGCCTCAGCGTGGTTTGATGAGCAGTGTCATGTCCGCGCCCAGGATTCGAACCAACGAAACACTGGGCCACCTGCAGCGGAGCGCGCGAACTTAACCGCTCGGCCACGGGGCCAGCCCCTGAAGTTTTTATAGTTTTATCTGGAGAAGCACTGGCTTGCACAGTCTTAAATTCCTGGTGGTCGGGGGGTGATGCGGTGGTGGTAGAGATCAACATTTGTAACTAACGAGTGCATAACTTGAGTTCATTGTTCTTAGCCAGACAGGTATTTCTGTTACATGAAGTTCAAGGGGAAAAAAAAGAAAAGCAGCTTGCTAAGTGGAGAAAGATGTAGGAAACTATTAAGTATATGAGGAGAACAAAGGAAGCATTGTCTGTTCATTAGACTGCAGGAATAAGGCCAAGAGTGGGCATTATGAGGTCAGAAGCTCTTTAACCTATTAAAAGTAGCTTTTACTAAAATGGTAACCAGATGGTACCATCTGGAATGAGAGGTGGGCAGAGTCTCAGGCCACAACGGGAAAAGACACAAAGATTATTTAAACGTCACCTCTCAAGTTTTTCTGCAGCTTTTCTTGTTCTCAATTTGAGAAGCAAATCAATTTTTTCTGAGAGAAAAGTTACTTTTAAGGCAGTAGAAAGGAAGATATATTCATTCTTTATACTATCATTTATTAACAAGTTTCTTCCTATTCTTAAAATAGCTCTTAAATTTCTTTACCTTTCCTATTTTGTTCTTGTGTCTTTACTTTGGTTGGTATTTCAGTTTTCGGTGTTCTCAAATTTTATCTAAATGGATAATTATTAAAACAGAACATAAATTGAAATTCTCCATTTCATTTTCTTCTTAGACATGAATCGTACAAAACTCAATATAGAGCAATGTTTGTGATGAATTGTTCTGTCAACAAAGAGGAGGTTCTAAGATACAAAACCCCAGAGAACAGGAAGAAGAGGCGAGGCCATAAGAAGATGAGGACCAACCGTGAAGATGCTGCAGAGCAGGCAGAGACGGAAGTGGAGGAAATCTATCACCCAGTTGTGTGCACCGAGTGTGCCACTGAAGTGGCAGTCTACGACAAGGATGAAGTCTTTCATTTTTTCAACGTTTTAGCAAGTCATTCCTAAGTAGCTAAGTTGGCGTTTAATTGCCCAATACTGTGTATAAGGCAAGTATGGACAGTTATTTTTCTCCTGCCTCTTCATATCAAGTGACATTCTAGTGGTTGTGTTTTGTCTTTATCTTTTTGAAAGAGAATGGTTATCATCCTTCATCCCTCCCCCTCCTTTTTTAAAAACTTTTCCACAGCTCTGATGGGACTGGTAATTCATTCCTTTTTGATGGACCTTTGGAAACTGTGGGGCTTTTTATTTATCAAAGCCCTTTAAAATTAAAGTGTTCTGGAGTTACAAGTAATCTTTGTTTCAGAGTGGTATTTTTTATTTTGGATATACCCTTGGTGTGATCAAATTAGAAACTGTTTCCTGACTTCTGTGTGTATTGTTTTTGCTAGGAAGTATCTTTATTTTCCTTCTACCCCATGTGAGAGAATGACAGTATTTAGTAACTGTTACAATTACATGGGGTTAGTATTGCCATTTGCCTTGAGTAATTAATTTAGGTCTTTCCCTAAAAGGATTGTACTTAACAGTATTCTAAACTTAATGAATTTACATAATAAGACAGAAATTTGTGATGAGGAAGAGCAACCTCACCCTCTGGCCTTGGACTTAAAAATCCTGTTGCTTCCTTTTGTGCCTACCATTTGTCCTGGAATTTTTTTTGGCCAGCAACCAAGGTATTTTTTTTTTTTTTTTGCTATTAATAATATAAAAATCATTAGTGGCAGCTAGGAGGAAATGTAGGCATCTGCACATTTTAGTTTTTTAAAAGAATATGATGGGACTGTTTGTAAAAATGACATTAGGAAACTCAAGGTCCTCTTGTTATTCTAATAGAAATGTGATAGAGTGGACAGAAGTCAGGAAATACATGTACTTTTTTTTTCCACTGGGAAAGACTTTCCCTAAGCTAATATCTGTTGCCAGTCTTCCTCTCTTTTTGTTTTTTGTTTCCTCCCCAAAGCCCCAGTACATAGTTGTATATTCTAGTTGTAGGTCCTTCTGGTTCTTCTATGTGAGCCAGTGCCACAGCCTGGCTACTGACGAATGAGTGGTGTGGTTCTGTGCCCAGGAACTGAACCCAGGCTGCCGAAGTAGAGCACGCCAAAGTTTAACTGCTAGGTCATCAGAGCTAGCTCAGGAAATATGTTTTAATTCAGCCCTACCATGCTAATCTTGGGCAAGTTTGTTCCTTTGAACCTCAGTTTTCTCATCTATAAAATGAAAAGATTGGACTAGAGCAGTGATTCTCTGCAGAGGTCAGGGCTCAACAGAGCTTGAGGAAGGCCTCTGGATACATATCAGAGAATGATATACCTCCAGAAAGAAAACGTCTTTCCCACTGCTTTGCCTTCTGCGCTTTCTAAAAGCTGCACATAAGGAGAGCTGGAACGAGTGATTGTGTGGTGTTGGTAAGAATTGACTGGAGGCAGAAAAATGATAAAGAATTTGCTTCTAGGGAATTTCTGATGTCTTAATAGCACATTTAATAATTTTTATAATATGCTGATATCTATTTGATTGGAAGCGATATGTGTACTTTTCAATGTTTTAACATGTGATAGATGATGCGTTGCAGAGTAACACTACTAGTCTGTTATTTTAACCTTGAGTTTGCCATGTTGTAGCTTTGCAAGATCTCTTTTTGTCTTACTGTCATTGCAAACCTTACTTTCTTCCCAGATCCCACAACTACACCTCCTTTGTACCCGCATCTCCACTTCAGTGGGAGGTTCTCAGTGGTCTTATACATAAAGATCACCTGGAGCAGATATTAAAAAGGCACATTGTGGCGGTCCCCATGGCTGAGTGGTTAAGTTCCCATGCTCCCCTTCAGTGGCCCAGGGTTTTGCTGGTTCAGATCCTGGGCATAGATCTAGTGCCGCTCATCAAGCCTTGCTGAGGCCACATCCCACATAGTAGAACTAGAAGGACCTACAACTAGAATATACAACTATGTACCGGGGGGCTTTGGGGGAATAAGGGAAAAAAAAAAAGAGGAAGATTGGCAACGGATGTCAGCTCAGGGCCAATCTTTAAAAAACAAACAAACTTTCTTTAAATAAAAGGTACATTGAGGTTCTACTCAGAACGTGATTCAAAATAAAAATGAGGTAGGAAATCATAAAGATGTATAAAGATGCAATTTGTGGCAGTAACAACATAAAAGGGAGGGACAGAACTGTATAGAAGCAATTTTTGTATACTGTTGAAGCTAGTTAGAAATTTAAGAGGCCAGTTGTAATCCCCAGGGTACCCGTGCAGATGTTGCAACAGGAATAAAATTTAAAGTGATTCAAGAAAAGACTATAATATACTTAAGTATTATAAAGTATAAAACTATGTGTAACTATTCATTATGTCCTTTTATTTAAAAAAACAATCTTTGAAATACCACTTAAGGAAACTGGTGGTGAACGTTGTTTTGGCTTGAAGCAGAGAGGCTGCAACAGTTTTTCCACCTGAATTTTAATGCATAGCTTTGAATATGTTTTCTGTTCTTTTGTTTTCATAGGAAGCCTATCTACAATGTGATTATATTCAGATTATTCAACAATCGTAGTGCATTTCAGCATATCTTTCTCACATTTTGTAATTGTAAATATTTTTCCTCTTCTCTCTGTTAAACAGCTATATGTGAACCTTTAAAGGACCACATGTGGCCTTAATCTGTCTCAATTCCCTTTTTAAATGGAGCATAAGTTATTTAATATTTAAGTGGGGTTTAAATAAATACGTGGGCTTGGAGCTATGGTTTGGTGATCCCAGTGAAACTAATTGTTCTTTTTTCCTGATTAGATTGGCTTACTGCATTAGTTTTATATGCTGTGTAACATAATGACCACATACTTAGTGGCGTGAAATAACACACATTTATCATCCCATAATTTTTGTGAGTCAGGAGCCTGGGTGCAGCTTAGCAGTGTCCTCTACTCAGGGTTTCAGAAGTTTGTAGTCAAGTTGTTGGCCAGGTTGCATTTTCATCTGGAGACTTGACTGGGGGGGATTCCACCTCTAAGCTCCCTCAAGTTGTTGGCAGAATTCACCTCCTCATGGTTATTGGCCTGAGTTTGCTGTCTTCTTGCTGGTTGTAAACCAGGAGCTGCTCTTAGCTCCTGGAAGCCACTTGCCTCTAGATGTGGAAATACACACAACATTAAATCTATTGTTTGTTAAATCTCTCACTTGTATTTTAGAGAGTCCAGGATGTATCTGTGTTTGTGTGGTTTGTGTTTCCATGTATATCATACAGGGACTGTTTTGTGCTTGCTTCTTTTCTCAGCTCCTCATCCTCCTAACCCCTGGAAACTTTGCTCTCATGATCCCCCAGCCGTGCCTTGCAGGAACCACTTCCTCAGGCTCTCTGAACTATTACCAGTGATTTGGAAATGAGGGAGACAGGCAGTTAGGGAATGGAGGGAGAAAAGGTAGAGCCTGCCATGTGTCATATCAAATATTGAGATATACCCATATCCAGTGTTGAATATTTTTCTTATAAAACTTTATTTTTTAATTATTACTTTTTTGGTGAGGAAGATTGGCCCCGAGTGAACATCTATTGCCAATCTTCCTCTTTTTGCTTGAGGAAGATTGTCCCTGAGCTAACATCTGTGCCAATCTTCCTGTATTTTGTATGTGGGACGCCACTACGGTGTAGCTTTATGAGTGGCATGTAGGTTCACACCTGGGATCCAAACCTATGAACCCCGGGCTGCCGAAGCAGAGCATGCGAACTTAAGCACCACACTACCAGGCCGACCCCTCTTATAAAACTTTTTGAATGGATTATTTTTGTATTTGAAATTAATTGACTATGATTGACTCATTTATGATTCGATATGGTTTTTTTCAGCAACCGTGCATACATGGGAATTCTTCAGAAATGCAAAAATCAGGTTGTTTTAAAATGTAATTTTAAATTACATTTTAAATTTGTGTATATTTTAAATTAAAAATAAAGTTTATGAATTTAAGTAAACATCTCTTAATTTTTAAGTAAACATCTCTTAGTTTTATTTTCTTATTTAGAAACAATACTGTCCCCTCTCTGCCCAGAACTCAGACCCTTTCCTGTGCTCTGGAGAAGCTGGTGGGCCCCAGGCACTCTGCCTGCAGTGCCAAATGGATAAATTGCTTTTGTTTGAGTCTTTCGGTGGATCAGTAAGAGGACAAAAGGTTGGCAGCAGTTCACCAACATCGGTGCTCGGGTAATTAAGCAATTTCCATAGTCCTTAATAGTTAGCATCTCTTAATCGATGTTGGTTTATGGAACTTGTGGAAGCACAGGACAGTTTTTCTGTAGACTAAAGCAACTTTAGGCAAAGTACTTTTCATTTAGATTGTTGTGTTAGTTTGCTAGGGCTGCCATAACAAAATACCACAGACTGAGTGGCTTAAATGACGGAAACTTATTTTCTTAGAGTTCTGGAGGCTGCAAGTCCAAGATCGAGGTGTCAGCAGATTGGTTTCTTCCGAGGCCTCTCCCTGGCTTGCAGAAGGCTGCTGTCTTGCTGTGTCCTCATGTGGGCTTTCCTTTGTGTACCCATCTGTGTCTTAATCTTCTCTTAGAAAGACACCAGTTATAGTGGATTAGGGCCCACCCCATGACCTCATGTCACCTTAATTACCTCCTTAAAGACCCTATCTCCAAATATGGTCACATTTTGAGGTGCTGGGAGTTAGGACTTCAACATAGGAATTGAGGGGGGATGCAATTAAGCCCATAACAATTGTTGGCCTTTATGAAATAAGCAAAGTTGATGATGATGCACATTTCAGTTAAGGTGAGTCTTATTTCCACTGTCTTCGATGGGAAAACCAACCCCCTCAACCCCCCATGAAATGTGTCAATAGTGGGAGTAAGAGCTTAAGCTAGTACCCTCCAGATCCTCTCCTCGGGTCTTTCCTCTATGTTATATTATCCTTCTCCAGTCCTCCCTCCACCATGAGCATGCCTGCCAGGTACAAAGCTGCTCTGTTCCACGTGGGCAGCTTCTGTAACTTGGCTCCCTTTTCCCCTTTTGTCTGACATCTCGATGAACTCTCCTTATCCACCTCTTCCTTCCCCCTCTTTTGATTTCTCTTTCTCCTTCCCTCTCTTTTTCAGTGTTACTATGTGCCAAGGCTTAGAGATACAAGGTAAGAAGGGGTACAGTGTTCTTCTTTTCATTGTTTACTGTCTAGTGGAAAGAAGACAGACCTTGAAACAAGTCCATTGATTTTAGATGGTAACTAATGTGACAGTAAGGGCATAGCTGCTGGAAGAGAGTGACTGAGTGTGTGTGTGTTTTAAAT